ATATTAGCCCTGAAAAGTTGTTTTTAAACAAAATTTGCAGTTCGTTTTTCAGCCAATTATTAAAAATTACAAACTTTTATTGTCAATGTATTAAAATTTTATAATCTCTTAACTTTCCTTCAATGAGTTAAGTGAAGCTATATTTATAATAATTTTGAAGATTTGTAAGCATGTTTATAAAAATTTGTGCTTCAAAAATGCAGAAAGAAAAAAAAACGGAATCTTTCAAATGGGAAGAATTAACTGCAAAATTTATAAGCGAAGTAATTTTTAATTATTCGATCTGGATAATATTATAAAAAATGGAAGCATTATAATTATAGTGTTTTTATTGATTTGATCTCATTTTAAAATTTCACAATAATTTTACCTATTAAAGAAAGTTTTGTTTTTCAAATTTTACTCTTATACAAGCCATTCAAACAATCATAATGAGTTAACTAAAATTTTCTTTTGCTTTAGATGCATTAAAAATTAAAGTTCTTAACAAACCTTTTTCCAAAGGATGTGAAATGCAAATTTAGGTCAAATGTGTATTTTAGGACAAATATAAGTTTAGGATAAATGATATTAGGGGCAAAAAAGGGCACCCTTCCGCCGCTGCAGGGTCGGAGGATCGGGGCAGTCCTGCCGGCTCCGTCCTTATTGATCCCCCGCCGGCGTGCTCTTTCCTTCTTCTTCTTCTGTACTCACCAGTACCATACAAATCGCCGTGCAGCATATAATACATATTTTCGAGTATACATGTGCCCAGCAAACTAGCTTTTATTTTTTCTCTTTTGGCTGCTACTCGCGCAAATCGGCCGCCGATCTAATTGCTTCCGATCCGAGATGCTCCTGGAGCGAATCCAAAAGGATGCATTCTAGCTGCTGCAATTTCTTGACCTTACTATTAGAAAGTCAAAGATAGGAAGAAAGTCTTTGATTTTTTTATACACAATAAAATTTCGGACACTGGTAGTTTTTTAAGAATTTTTTTTATTGAATCACCAGAGAATTAACACCTCCAATTTACTTAAATGTTGGCTTAAAAAATTTATTGAGACATTTGCTGATTAATCATATTAACATGCAAAAAACTAAGAACTTCCCTACCTATTATTTTGGTAAGCCAAAACTTGATAGTTACCTAATCCTACTGATCAAGCAACAAATATAAATAGTAAAAACGCTTATCCAGAAAATCAGCAAAAAATATTCACAACTTAAAACATGTAATTCAATACAAGAGAAATGAAAATATTGTTAAAAATTAATATAATTTTATCTACATTAAAATTTTAAAATAATATTTTTAATTTTAAAAATAAAAACTAAATTTTGTAAAAATAAAAATAATGTTGAAAAAAATTTAACAAATTTATTAAAATTATGCATTAATTATGCTACAACATGTTTTGACATTTGCCTTACAAACAATATCATAATTGAAACCTCTGAGAAAAATGAACCTTTTCACAATATATTCTGCTGAAAAATTCCCGTGCTTCCTTTGTTGACATTTGTCATTAAAATTCGCATCCTTCCGCTGATGAATCTGCTTAGTTGAAGAGAAAAAAGCCATTATACGAAGGAAAAAAATCCTTCTCGAAACAGGAGAGAGGTCGTATATAATATTTTATTTCTTACTCTCCTAAGGGACTCGCAGGTCTGCCTCATTGTCTTTTCCTCTCGCTTTGTCTCCTCGAATATTGTAACGAGTATCAAGGAGCGAAATGATAATGATGAAAGGACGCGATTTCGCTCCGGAGCGGAATGCAGCGAACGAGACCTTTCTTCCCAAGGCGTGCAAGAATAATTTATCAGCGCTGCACCGTCTATAAATCTCATGAGCGCACTGCACACACCACTAGAGAATTCACATTTTATGTACCTCCGTCGTTGCATTTTTTTTTTCATACACAAAACTGGTTTCGAGAAGAGTTATTATTATTATTTTGCTCCGGCGAGACTTATTATATCCTTTTTTGCAAGCCGATTTTCTTCTCTCTCCTCGGATTTTTTTCTCAACTTGAGAGGCTCTTCTCTCAATTCCTTGATAATTTGCCAAGAGCGCGTGCTGCAGGCGTGGGAGACGAGGATTTTCTCATTGCAGCGTTAAATTTTGTTTGTTTGCGCTTTTTCTTGGGATGAAAATTGAACGCCGCCGCGATTGTCAGCGGATTTGCGCGCGCCAATAAAATGCAAATCATCTACGTGATTCGCGAAAATGATGCCGCTGTGTAAACACAGATGGGGGACGCGAGTGTGCAAATATTTCCGCAAAAAATAATTATCTTGTTTGCATTTTAATTATGTGCAAAAAATATACTAGGATTAAATTTTTTGCTGAATTTTCTAAACGCTTTAAAGATTTAAACAGCGTCTACGAGCGTCTTACTTAGAATTTTCTTTGTTCAGGAAAAATTATGCCAACAATGAAATTGAAAACTGGTTTTCAACTTAAAGTATAAAAAAATCTTGCTTGATGGCAATGATGGCAATGATATTTTTGCCCGTATTTTGTTAAAAAAAAAAAAAAACCGTTAAATTAGCCAGTGAACATGTTCTAGGGGGATTAAGATTGTTAATTCAGTTGCATTGTAATTAAATCACGCTTCAAATCTCATTGGGTCTGAAAATTACTAATTATGTTCATATTATCCAGAAATCGTCACTTTATTTAGACATGCAGTGAATTAAAATTTTATTTTTATAAATTTGAAAAGGTTTTTGCATTTGAAATTTTGCCTTTTTCTTGTAATAATTGGAAATTATAATAAAATTTTTAATGTACAGAAAAGTAGAAAAACCAAGCAAAATAACAACTACTGTACAAACTTGATGCGAATTAAATGCTTTTTTACCAGTATTTTTTGTTTTTTCAAGTTGACGGAATTGCGCAATCCTTCACTTAAAACACAATTAATTGTTTATTCAATGTTTTACATCTATATGATGCGTTTTTCTACTCCTACGTGAAGTAAGCAAAATAAATTAAAAATATAAACAAGTAGCTTCTTGAATCTAAAATATCAAAATTTCCATGAATAAACAAGTTAAACTTTTGAAGGAATAAGGATCGTAAAATAATTTTACTCCTAGATACCGCTTATTTCGCACCTTTTTTAGACTTAAAAGATTGGTTTATCGGCACTTCTTCACAGACACCTCGCACGAAGGTATAACCTCTCTCGACTGAAATGCGTGGGTCGCCTTTGCTTTCGTAATGTTTAAGTGTGTTAATGAGCATTCGCGGCTCTCTTCGGCCTCAGGTCAAAATATCAAAGCGTATAAAATCTCTCGAGTGCGTTGGATTCCCCGAAGCTAATGAACAAACTTTTAATCCGAATGAATTAAAGCAGACACAATCTGCATACCACCCGCTGGCAAGGAATTCTGAGTAAAAAAAGCAAGGTGTGTGCTAAGGTGAGGTTCTTTTGTTACAAAGAGACTTGCCGCGTTTATTTATTTATGCCGAAGCGACGTGAATCGGGGAAAAAAGCTTTTCTACCAAGATTCCTCGATTATATGCAAATTAAAGTGAACAAAAATCTTGTTCGACAAGCCTTGTAATGTAATTAGGCGATCAATCGGCGCGCACCTGCGGCCTTTGCGACAAAGCACTTTATTCTTGGCACCGAAGAGAAACAGGTGCAGACAAAAGTTATTTACAAATCACTCGGACTCAAATTTCAGTAAACCCGAGATGAAAAAGTTTGATTTTTATGTGGCCGCAGTTTTGTTTGATCCTGTTTTATTTTCAAACAATATTAAAATTAATGGTTTCAGAGCACAATTGCTCCATAAAGAAATTTCAAAACAAGCTTTTATCAATTGGTCTCTCTTTGATCCTCTTTCTTGATTTTAGAACCTCCTGCCAAGTAGTTCAATGAGTCCAATGAACCTGGTGAATCATAAAAGCGAGTACATAAAAAAGGCCAAAGTTAATCTTGTCCATCCATTGAGTATTATAATAACAAGAAAAAAAAATATATTTTGTCTCTTTTAAAATATACAACTTGGACTTTTTTTAAGAGAATTCCAAGTTATTTGTCGCGACGGTGACATCACCTGTGGCCTGTCTCCGGCCTAGTCTAATTTATATATTTTGGTCTCCGCCAGAGACACAAATGAGTGTCTATTACATACAAACCGGTCTAATAAATTATTCCCTGGCGCGAGAGCAATTCTCCGTTCTCCGTTTCAGTCAGCTGGTGCCATCTCGCAGAGCCACTCTCAAGTCCGTCTTGCACTCCGTCTTTAAATTTTGGATCGGAGAGGGCGTGCAAACGGTTTGCAGATTCTATGGCAATTTTGCGTTGGACAAACTTGTGAAACTTATTTCAAATCTTGATGATTTAAGCAAAAATTCCCAAAAATTCGTTTAAATTAAACATATTATGGACTCTTGAAAAAAATAAGCTTTAATTTTTTTAAATTTGTTCAGTCCGGTTCAGTCATTGCAAATCATCAACAATTTTCAAAATTATTTTGCGCTTAACAAAGAATCTTTTACTTCTTCAATAGAAACATACTTTTGAGATTTTTACTATTATAGTTCTTCTCTTGACTAATTAGAGATTTTCATTTATAATTACTTAATGTTTATTTTATTAAATAATTGAATTAAATGATAGACTGATGCTTTAAAATTGACACTGCTTGCCATTATAAAGTAGGAAACTCATTTAAACTTTGAGCAAGAGATATTTTAGACAATTTTAGAATATAAAAAAAATAACTGAAATTTTACTCAGTCTACGTTATATCAAAATTTAATTATCCATCCCAGAAATGTGTTTCAATTCTGAAGCTCAAAATTAGATATGGATTTAAACCCATAATGTCACCTTTTTAGGAAACCCTACTGTTCGCCAATCTAGGAATATTATAAAGAGACTATATTAAATAATTATATTTTAGATAAAACTTCAAATTTTTAAATGATAACTTTGATTAATTGTTAAATTAAATATATAATAAGTATTATATTATTTGTGTTCTCTTTCTGTTTTCAGTTTTATCCTTTATCCCGAAGGAGTATGAGTTGATGCAGACCATCCAGATCCCGCTGGTGGACACAAAGACGCAGTTCTTCGACCAGGGCTTCGATGGCTTCCCAACGCACGGCATGCGGCCTGGTTCCAACATCAAGTCGCCGTACCGCGTCGTCCTGCCGGAGAAAATGCCTCCGGACTTCACGATTCGCATGGCGGCCAAACCGGCTTCCAGGGAGGGCGGATTCCTCTTCGCCGTGGTCAACCCTTTGGACACGGTCGTCCAACTCGGCGTCCGGCTCGCTCCAGCACCTGCAGTCGACGACATGAACATCGCCCTCTACTACACGGACGTCAACATGCATTTCAGGTTGATAAATTTAATTGAAAAATAAAAATAAATTGATAAATAAAAATTTGAAATAATTGAAGGCTAAGGATAATGAAATAATATGAATCAGAAATCTTTTAATTGTTTTTCAAACATTTTCAAGTATTTTTGTCGCTTTCAGAATTAGTTTCAATTTGAATTTAATTAAACCTTTTTCTTAATTAAAGCCTACCAGAATTTTATAAAATGGCTTTAAAAATTGGATTTATTAAATTACATCAGTTTTATAGTAAATCCTGCCAATTTTAGGTATTCTTGAGCGTTTCATTTGAAAAGTTCTGTAGAAAATAAAACTAAAATAATAATAATTAATCCACTATCTTTTCCAATTTTAATTTTATTTTTAATGAATTTAGAATTTTCAACAAACATTACATTGTTTTTTTTTATTTCTTATGTAATGATTAATAATACTTTTTTTTACATTTAGTTCTCAAATGATTGCCTCCTTCGTTGTCCCGTCGTTTGCGAAAAAATGGGCGAAATTTTCACTTCGAGTGAGTGGAAACAACATCACGCTGTTCTTCAACTGCAAAGAGCACGGCACGACGGTGACCCCACGCAAGCCCAAAGAGTTGGTCTTTGATTCTGCGTCCACTTTGTACATCGGACAGGCCGGCCCCATCGTCAAAGGAGCCTATGATGTGAGTTTTAAGTTTTATTTCCGCCCATCAAAGAGGGCAGTAATAACTTTTTACGATTTACTTTACTGCTGAAATAATTTCAATCACAATTTCCGGACACCTCATGGCCTACAAAAAAAGCTAGAACATTTTTTTGCAAATTAATTTGCCAAAAACAACTGTTTTTTACGGACAAAAGCGACTCCACCTGATAAATTTAAAACAGACTGACCGTTTATTGAAGGATTTTTCTGGATGCACTCGGGTCGTCCGGTGCACCCGGAAATTTTAATGCAGACGTTTGATAAGAGGGCATTAGCGTTGCCGAAGCTAAAAGCGCACGCGGTCCATTAACCGAAAAAACCACATGTCCCGCCAGCAATGCGTTTCTAAAATCTCTCCAGCCCTTAATTCTTTTCTATTTGTGGCGCTGACTTATTGAACTCTCTCGGCAGCTCGCGTCCTGTCCAAATAAATCGTACGGAATAAAACAAACAATGCGCAATGAATTATTTCGTGTGAGAGGAGATTTTCGACTGCCCTCCGGGTCAAATTTGGACTTGGCAGATATCATCGCAGATTTATTTTTATATTCCGCTCGCAAAAAAGCGCGCGCCTCATTTTTATTTCGCTCAATAACTTTTCGCCGCCTTTTTATCTGATTGAACGATTGCTGGCTGCTTTTACAACCGCGCGCTCGTTCCCTTTGTTTCGGCCGCGCGAGTATATTGATTTCTGATTTATTTCCCGATCGAATCGTAAAGCAGCTCCCTAGCCCTGCCGTTTAATTGAGTTGAGCGTTGCGTTTCGTCAAAAAAAGAAGTATTTTATGGTACCGAGATCAATTAAGATTTTGTCGGAATTTGATGGCATTTCTCTATTTTCTTCAAGATTTATGGCACCAGTTTATTAAATTGAAAATTTTTGTAATAATTTAAAAGGTATTGATTGACATCATATTTGATTTTATTATCTAGAGTGAAGCAATGCATGAAGTTAATGTTTCGGACGTTTTTAACTTACTATAATATCTTTTTGTTTCGGTCTTTCATCTAATTTATAGCAATTAAAGTGCTTTTGCAATTAGGTAAACTTAATTTTGCAACTTTCAAACCATACAGCTAGGGTATAATTATCCAGGGCCGGCTTTTTTCCTTTAAGATCTTGAATAATTTTGACAGTTTTAACCAAAATGTAATTTAAATTATAATCAATATGTAGAGACCTAATTTAATATATTACACCTCAAAACTTAAAATGAAAATAAGGAAATTTATCTCCTTTTTTGTAATTCTTAGAAACAAAATTGAGCTTAAAAGTAATTTGGTCAAGATGTTGACCTCACGGAGAGCAAAATGTATGCTTTGTGTTTACAGTGAGTTCTTGATGATCTCAACATAAAAGATTCCCACAGAAACAAGTAAAGAGCAGAAATATTCCTTCGTTTAACAAAAGGATCTTTATATTCTCGACTGTTGCTTTTTATGAAAGAATCGCAAACCGTAAATTTAAGTGCATTTCTTTTAGCACGAATAATTAATGCTACGCTCAAATATTATGAAAAATGTTTTTGAGAAGAATATTTACTGAGAAGAAATAAATATCTATTCAAGTTGGTTGGTTTTGCCCGCATGCAAATCCCCCCCTGCCAAATCGCGGCGCTAAACGGTGTGCACCCTTCTTTCTCCTCCTCGCCATTCGGCGGAGGAGTTTGTTTGCCCAGCGAATGAAGAAAAGATGCGAACGGGGGTTGCTTTCGGAGTGGCGGCACAGTGTGTATTAGCAACATCAATTAAAAGCAGTGGCTGAAAAAGAAGAGCGAGTCTGGAGAGCAGGGAAGGGGTAAGTGGGGCACTCGAGTGAAGCCACTTCTTCTTCCTCCGAAATGCGAGCAGCGGACGCTCGGCAGTGATGGGCAGCGAGACCTACACGCGGACCCAAATGCTGCTCTGCGTGGGCCTGATGGGCCTGCTCGTGGGCCTCGTCTTCCTCGTGGCCGGCGCCACCACCCAGTGGATCATGCCGCGCGACCCACCCGAGGCCAACCACCTCACCAACGAGGGTGTACCAAAGGTTTGTTTGTGATCAACAGCAGCGCTCTGGTTCAACGGCTTTCGAGATTTTTCTTTCAGATTTAATTTTTTGGGGTATTATAAATTTTCAAATAAGTACTATTTTAATTATGAAACTCTTAAACTAATTTCTAGATTCTGTTTTTGCCTTAAAATTTAAAATTCCATGCATTCTTATTCTACAGTGGAAAACATTATTTATATTTTAATTTAAAATTTAAGGAATATTTTAAAATTATAATTAGCTGCATATTTTCTTCATTGAAATTATATTATACCATCAGGCATCTTAATATTGTGTATCATTACATTCATTTGTATCTGTTTATTGCTTTATCTTTACTAGCGTGCAAGTGGGAAACTTCAAATCAATACAAGAAACACGGTGATTAATAATTTATTTATAATTGATGCAGCTAAAGAATTTGATTTAATAATATGTAACAAGTAGAGAAATAAAGAAAAATAATAAACATTAATAACAGTTACAATTCAAAATATAATTTTTTTTAATAATTAAGTTTTTTATTATATATTTATAATTTAATAAGTTTTTATATTAAAATTTGTGTGATAATGAAATAAAAGTAATTTAACGAATTTTCTACTCTTATTTAATATTTTATTTACTTTTATTATAAATAATATTTAACTCTCACATAATCTTAGATTTAATTATTCTTTAAAATCCTAAATTTAATTTAGTATTTTGTTCACTGTACAATACGATGAATAATTTTGAAATAATGTCACGTTATATATCGGCAATTTGCAAGATATGAAGGAGTAAAATTAAAAATTTTAATCCCTCTGCGCTTGGCTTAATCAGCAAGCAATTAAAAAAACTTAATTCTCATTAATTTCAATCAGCTCTTGTGAATTTTATCTTTATTGAACATTTCTATATAATCTAGTATTGCCAGATATTTTGTTTATGTTAAATAATTTTTTATCATTGAGATTTTATGTGTCTAAATTATTGCACAATGCACAAGTTTTAAAATGAAAGAAAAAATTGTTAAGGGTCAGGGGCAATTTGGAAACAATAAACTCAATAAACGATACATTTTTCAGGCTATATTAGAGTCATTTTTGAATGGTTCTAGCTCGCCGTTTTGTTTTGGCTTCTTTTGAATTCAGCAAATATTTGCTAGCTGAAAAATCAATTCTGCTCAATTTGTCCCTTTTTTTCCACACCACGACTCAAAATTAGTCAGGAATGTTGAAAAAGCCTCTTCTGAGTTTAATATCTAAAATTTTCAAGTAATATTTGTTGTAAAATAAATACAAGAAACATAAAATTTTCAAAATTGAATTTGTGCAATTTGTTTTCCAAACTTAAAATTGTTGGTGCTTTCCTCTTTCATTAGTTAAAAAAGACTTTGTTCAAAGAATTGGGTAAAAAAAACGAAATGCGCAATTGGGCGAAAAAGAGGCCAACTGTAGCAGAATAAAAGCAGGGTGAAAGAACGCTGAGGGTGGGCAATAAATAAATCGAGTTGCTTGTGTGTCTGAGGGTGCCACTCATTACCCCGAGTCTTTAATAACGCGGGCGGGGGAGCGATTTTCTGTCGCAGACAAGGCGCTGCTTTTTAATTGCCGGCGCCCTTCCAACGGCATTTCATTCGCCGCAGTCCAATTTTCACGACAAATCCCTCGAAATGTGATGTGTGCTCCAGTTTATTTATTGAGATGCTCTTTGGTCGGAGACGCAATAATTGCCACAAGCACTCGGGAAAAATATATAAACGCCCGTTTCGCGTTCTAGGTCGCAGTACTTACACTGAGACTTACATATTGTTCGAGAGGGTAAATTACCAGCATGACTCCCATTTGTTTTCCCTTGCTGCAATAGCCACCAGCATTAGATGGATTGTTTTTAGTGATTCATACTTCTCTAGAAAAAGAAAAATACTAAATAATATTAAATATTAAAACTAAAATAGTAAATATTAAATATATTTACTGTTTTAGTTTCAACAATTTTAAATGATTAATAATTAATTTAGAAAAGTATGCATATATTATAGTTATTTATATTTTTTTTATTTAAAATAATTTTAAATCACATTTGTAGTTTTAAATTTTTCTTTTTTTTCTCAATTTATTTCTGATTTGTAATAAGTGTTAACTGAAACCAAGAATATTTTATTTTAAATCCTGCTAAATTAAATATATATCATACTAGCCTGTCATACAATTTACTTATTTTTCAATACTTCCTTGCTGAAGGAGTCCACTCTGAAATATTTAATTTTATTCAACCAAATATTGACCATTTAATTAATGGTTTTATCTCATTGCAAAATACTTAAGTGCATTGCAAAAAACTCGAAGTAATAATAATACAAGTTGGAATCTAACAAAAAACAATTTGCCAAAAGTGGATAAATGCAAATGAATTAAAATGCCATCAAATTTCCTTGTTCAAATACATTATTAAAATGCATTGAAGCGCGATCATAAATATGTCAATTTGTCTATCTACGATCAGTCCGTTTGCAATAATAGAGCAGTTATTTTTGATGTCTCAAGTGGGCCGTAAAAATACCTGCAAATCAACAATGCCCATCAAAGTAAGGAATAATTCATATCCCCTCTTTGAAATTTATCGCTGCCTTCGTGAGAAAAACAAACGCGCCGAATTCACAATTAGCGACACGCGTCGATTACAAATCGCGAGAAAAACCAAGCAGACAATTTATCGCGTCGGACAATTTGGCTCGTGCTTTTTTTCCATCACGACGAATTTTAATACAGACGCAACTGGCGCGCGCGATCCCACTACAGCAACTCCCTCCTTCTCCTCGTCGGAGAGAATCTTCTTCCCTCTGCATTTCGGTACTCGAGAAAGAAATCAGTCAGTCAGTCAGTCGGCTGATGGAGTCGCTTCTGCAGAGACGGTCATGAGGTCCCATTGAAACATGTGGAGGAATCTAGTCGTGTGGCTCTTGTTAAAGGGTGCCATCCAGGAGATCAAAATCCTCGACGACCCTCTCCTGGCTGAGGTCCAGTGCCTTTCTTTTGAGGTGAGTACGCTCATTTATTATTTTAATATATTTTTTTAAATAACTTCAAATATTTATTTTTTATTATTTAATTATGCTTAAAATAAAATAAAATAATTTTATTAAAAGTATTTTTGCTCTGAATTTTTTAAAATTATTTTAGAGCTTTACATTGTTTTAGATTAGTTAGAAAAAAATTAGCATTAAATTAGTAAAAATTAATAAATAAGAAATTTGCTACAGTTGGATTAATTCATTTCACGAATTGCAAATTTGATGTGTTGATTGTTGATTCCCTAACTGTTGGTAAATTTATCAAGCAAAAATTTTTAATTTCAATAATCCGTTTTTGATTAGATTGATTAACCATTTGTACTCCGTTTTGTACAATATTTTAAAGTTTGATTCACCCACGTGTGCAGCAGATTTTGGCTGGATTTTTATCATTCATGAATCAGGGCGTCACTCTTTGCCGAGCCGTCCACAGCAAATTGATTCAAATTGGTGGCGATCGGCGCTTTTCATCAGCTTTTAGTTTAAAATATTATAATATTAAACTGGTCTTTAAAAGCAAGAGAGGCGATCATGCAAGCATGATCGAGCTCGTCTCTGAAAAGGCGTGCCAGAATTTCTTAAGGGAGGTAATAATTTATCAAATTTTTACTGCGATCACCAAATTTTACAACCTGTCAGCACTTTTGAATATTTCCTTTTGATGTGAAAATCAGTCCAGAATAAATCAACAGTAATTTAGCTGCATAAATCATAATGATATAAAAAGCAACGAAAATTCCAGTAAGTAAAAAAATTCACGGACAAGTTTTTAAAACGTATAAACTATTTAAGCGTTACGATGTATTTTATTACATTTTTTTTCTACACAAACAAAAAGGACATGAATTGATGATCAAAACCAAGCGAGACGGGCGGCAATACATTGAAAAAAGCAAGACCAGTACACGGCGTATTCACATTCCGGAATGGTTATTTACTAACCACCTGTTAACCACGGCGGGTGCATGAGATTTGATCCGTCTTGCGGCGGCCCTTGCACGGACTGACGGATAATCTCGAACGATTTCCTTCGTTTCGGAGTGTGTTATTTCACGCAGCTGCGGGCTGAACGAAAAGAAGAGCATGTCGTGAGAATCACACAAAATTTCAGAGTGCAAAATAATTTTTATGTAAATCACGTTCGAGAGGAGTGAAAAAGCGTGCGCCTTTGAGAAAAGCGGCGGGTAATTAGTGCAGAGACTATAATTAGTGCGAGAGAGCAGAACTAGATTCGGCGGTCCACCTGTCAAGGACTTGGCGTTCGTATAATATATGCGCGTCGAGGGACACGTAAAATATACCCACCTTTTATTCGATCATTATATTTATTCAGAGGGAAAAAAACGTATGTGAATCGGATTTATATTCGTTTGATGATTTTCGCAAACATCTGCTCCATCCGAGTTAATTAAGAAACCTTTCAACGCGAGACGTCTCAATTGTTGGCGTTGCATAAATTTATTTTCAGGAATTTTTGCCCAACAGGGTAAAAAGGTTGGGCTTGGCACCGAAAGAGGCTCCATTCTTTTTTCTGCCAAATAATGTTTGACCGGCAGTTGTGTAAATTCTAGATTCCAATCGTTCCGTTCAGGTAGCTCTCCGCCGGCTTTACGACTTTGACAGCCGCGAATAATTCGCAAATCTGCGCGCCGGCTTTGCCTAAGCTCGTTATCGATGATTTTCACTTTTGCTTAGTGGAAAGAGACAGCTGGTGCTTTTCAGATAAAAGACTCGCTGGACCGACTTTTGAAACTCAATTGACATTATTTGTTTGTATTTATTTTAAGCTTTTATGTATTTATAGATTCTTAAATAAAAAAAGCTTACTGAAGCAGAAAACGAATTATTTAAAGCTGCTGCTGTCAACAGAACTGCGCTATTTTTTACTTATGCAAATCAAGTATAAAATTTAGGTGACCTAATTTATTGTATAAATTCAGAAGTTTTAATAATTTTATAATTTGTTTAAAATATCAGCCAAAGGTTAGGATATTTTAAGAATTTTGAAAATAAATTTTTTAGGAAAATACTACAGGCAGATCCCAGATAAATTCAATATTTATGCAAAAGCTTATAAACATCTTAATTTTCATATTGAAATAAAATAAAATAATAATGCTTCATTGCACTTTTTATAAGCCTAATATATTTTAAAAACTATTTATTTCTAAACATTTTTTTACAATTTAAATAAAAAATTAAATGCTCTAAAATCTGCAATGAAATTTGCAATAAAAAATATCGCGGAGTTTAAGTTTTGAAAATGAAAATAGGAAAAGCGGAAATTTAGAATCAGTCCCAAACTAGTTTGAACATTGAAGCAAGATTTAAAAACTAATCCAAAAATTACTTTCTTTTTGCTTTATTGTGACGAAAAATCTAAAAAAAAAATTTATACTCTCACTCAGTGTCACATAAATAAAGAATCAGAACATGACACAATTTGCAAATCCCTTATCAGAATTAATTTTCGATATAAATAGAAAAACTTATTCCATGATTTATGGCTAATTGTTAGTAAAAATCTCAATTATGAATGTTTTAATCAAAAGCATTTGATTAAAATTAATATTTTTCTTGGCACTATATCAATCAACTTTTAAATGATTGTTTTCATAAAGTACTTTATAAATTTTGAATCTGAAACCCCATAAACAAGGAACTGAAGTATTCATTCTTCTGTGCATGTTTGTTTGAAAGTTGTTGAATTCATGACCATCTCGTACTTTATAAATGGGTCTTGTTTCAAAAGCGTCTGCGATTAAATCTGCAGGGTTTTTGGCGTGGCAAATTTATTGTTACACAAGCACTGACCATTGAAAATCGTCCAAACTGCTTTTTTCCTGATGTGAAGAATGAACTTCTGCGTGTGGTCTCCATTACGCGAGTCCATTTAAAGCACTCTCAGCTTATGCATAAATGTATGCAGATCGCAACCGGCATAACGAATCACCTGCATGCTTTTCTTTTCGCAATTATTTTGCCTCGCCGAGGCCATTACGCGCGTGATTTACGAATTCGTATAGTCTTTGTTTTTGAAAATAAGAAGAAGAAAAGACGAGCACACATGCACTTCTTCTTTCGTTATAGATCGCGAGACAACGGATCGTTGGCAAAAAACAACATCACGTTGTGTTCGCCATCTGACGAGCAACAAACACTTTGAATTTTTTGCCCTAACAAGAGAAGCATCCGCCGGCCTCTCATTGTTTCTATTGTATGTACCTTATTTTTTATACTTTTACTCGAAAAGTTTTGAATAGCATCAAGAACAGTGCTCCTTATTGGGTTGCCAGTATTTGGCCAAAATTAATATGATCAAAACTCGATACAAAATAGTAAAATTTTACAAACACATTGTTTTCTACCAATATTCTAATTATTATTTTTATTTGATTTTCATCACACCGCAGAATTTAATATCATTTAGCAGTAGTAGTGATTTTAGTCATTCCAGTTTCTGTCAAAATTGATTTTGGACTTCATTCAAAACTGCATTATTTTAAAAATATTTATTTTCGGTGAAAATATGGTTACCCGCTCCTTACTCCCTCTTGGGTCGGAGAGGCTATTTGTATTTATATTGCGAACACGTCGAACAGGAGCTCAAATTTTATATTCACTCCAGAGCCAATTACGTGTAATGGTACCTCTGAATTAGCATACATAAAAAAATAAGCCGCGCGCAAATGACTTTTTCATATGGGCTGAGAACGCAGAACCAAAATATAATGAGACGAGTCGCAGCGGGTTATCGAAATTTTCAATTAGCGTCGCTCTCACCAAAAGTAGACAGCTTTTTTACATCCATATTCCATATTATTTTTTACTCCGGGAAATTTTTTTGTAACCTCGGCTGATATAATTGATTCAGGCCATTAAAAATTGCTGATTATTTTCATTATTTTATAAGACGTGTTCAAAAGAAGGTGCTCTGCGGTGAGATATTGACAATTTTCTCTCTTCCAGAGAAAAAAACATTATTTATTTTTTTAATCATATGTTTTTTTTATAAAAATATAGTAATTCTCTTAGCACAAGAAGAAATCTTTACCTTAAACACATGCATTAATTTTCTGCTTGCACTCTCTTCAGTAAAAAAAAAAAAAATTAAGAAATTTTAAATTTCGCACCGTTTTTTTTTTAGCGAAAATGATTGAATTTTAAATTAAATTCTGCAGTCACACGACAAGTTAATGTGAACCCCGATTTAAATTTTCACCTCCAACGTTTTCAAATCTTTTGACGTCACAGAGATATCTCCATTTGCCAATTCCATTCACAAATAAATCTCTTTTAATTAAGTTAGACAGCAGCCGTCCATCTTGATCAGAGATTCGGACGCGGAGCAATAAATATTCGCCGTTTTGTTTTTAACAAAACCCTCTCGGATCGCTCCAGGTGAGACGGCCAATTTGTCGGCGCCGCTAAATGGGTATTTCTGCACCGCCCGCTGGCCGGATAGGAAGCATTAGAGAGAAAATTGGCACGGGCGAGTTAACTGAAATGGCAATAATAGCGCGGCAGCTCGGAGACAAACAAATAATTTTCTTGGGCGCATCCCCCGTCGCGAACAATGGCCCTGAAATAATAACAACGCAGACCGACAGATGAAATTCCTTCTCGTTTTCTTGATAATAACAGGGAATCATAAGTTCGGAGACAGATCCGAGATTATTTTGACATCCTCAATTGGCCGCCTGAGTTATTTCCTCTGCACGATCATGCGAGTATTTTTTCAATGACGTGTTGTAATGCGTCTTTATGTGGCGTGTAATCGTACAGAACACACGATATGGATGAATTACGTGCTCGATTCCAACCATAGCTCTTTTGATATAAAACGATCGTGCCCGCGGCGCAACCACTATAGAAATAAATAAAATATAACAATTGTGTGCCGTGCCGAGATTTTTCACCTCGAGCTGTTTCATTCTCAGATGTTGGGTCGTAAAAAAGTTTCTGTGATGTCTGCTGCATCAATTTATTTGGGGAAAGTGTTTAATGGCAGCTGCTGACGATGATTGAGCTGCAATTAAAAATGGGCCAGACAATTTCCTTCCAGCTTTTGTTTGTTTAAATTTGGAAATGAAAGACGGCAATAAACTAAAAGTTCGTCTATTATCACTGTAAAATTGAGGTAAAAGTTTTTGTTTCTTAGGTTAAAAAGATCTTAAATTATGAAGTTTTTCTAAAACTGACTGCAGCTCTTTATATGACAATTTTTGTAGATTTTTGATAATTTAAAGCCCAAAGAAACCAATTGAAACATTCATCTCATGTCTCGGAACGTAATTCCACGTAAAAGGCGTTTAGTCAAAAGTACTAATTTAAATATTATAGAATTTAATAATTTTTTGATTTTTCAAATGAGAAAAAACATTTAAGTTATTATCATTTATGAATTGTTGTTTGTTTCAAATTCATAAATTCTAACCTGCAGATTGCATATTGAAGGAAGTTGTGCAAATGATATTTAAAAATTAACGGGGTTCTATTTTAAATAATACTTCGTCTGCAATTAATTAAGGTTGGTTATTTTGATTCCTAATGCAAATTTGGTAATATAATTTATTTTTAGTATTAAATAATGTTTAATATTATAAATTTTTAGCGTAATTTTAACTAATTATAAGACTATACTTTTATAATTATTTTTCTTTTTTAAATACTCTTCATGTATTTTATTTGTCTATTGTAAAATGCTATTGGAATTGGCAAAAATATAAAATATAATATTTTGTAAAATTTTAACTAAATTATAAACTTTGTTGTGATCATGTTTTTTCAGTATGATACAATGTAAATAAATTATGTACATAACTAGAGCTCTCATTGTCTGATGAATTCAATAGAAATAAGATTTTACAATTTAAATAATGACCACCTTTTTATGAGTTATACAAAAGGTAAGTCATTACCACGGCGGAAGGGGTCACTTTGATCTCGGTATTCTTTACAGTGAGTTGCGGTGACGTTTTGTTAACAAATTTGGGGTTTGCATCTCATTAATTTAGTACATTTATAAATGTAGAATTCTTTGAAACAAATTGTTAAACACTTACAATTTGTTTTTCAAAGTATACATTTTTCGGCCTTCTTTAATTAATTTGCAAAGTTAATTACTGGCAATTAATTTCACTGTGCGAGATAAAATCACGGCGAGAATTTAATTAATCAAAAGGCGCAGTATAGCAGTATAGCAGGGCCGTATCAAATGAATGGGTATAATGTGCTAATTAGGCCGCTCGTGTATCCAAAGTGGAAGGAAATAAATAAACGTCCGTGTGCAGAAGCTTGGATTTCAATTTAATATAGGCCGTGCCAAAAATATGATGTGCGTAATCCGTCAGCTGTTGGCTGCTGCACTTCTCCGCTGTCGAGAGTTAATACTGTCCAGCAGCACGGTTTGTACACCCGCGTTGGCGAACAAATTTATTCATCCTGCTATGATTATCGTCCGTCAGTCTTTCTGCACGCAGGCCGCGCTTTCGCAGAGTCAAAATCTCACCGCCCGATCGCGCAGAATTTCCAGCAGCTGCCAGCGTAAATCTGCTTTGAAAAAAACAAGTGCGGCCGGTTCGCCGCGATCGGTGCTCAAAATCTTCAACTTAATTCTTGCCAAAGGGAAATAACATTTGTAGGGGGAGCTTTTTCAAATAGAAAACCGTAAAAATATTATTTAATAATGCATGTAAATTGATTCCATTGTCAAAATGACGTAGCTATAGATTAAAAAAAATTGAGTTAACATGATAATTCTGTAAAATTCTATCAGACAATTTAAATTTCTTCAATACATCACAAGACATTTAAACAATTATTTAATTAAAAAATTAACAGCTTTTAATTTCTAGTTTCACTTTTTTTATATTCATCTGATTCATCTCATTTTATTTCGTGTATTCAATTGTATTTTTTTCATACACATTGTGTTATCAAGTTTTAAAGTAGTTTGGAATTCAGAATTAATTCAATACTTATTAGCGAATTTAATTTAAATTATGAAACAATACAATTCACAAAATTATGCGAAGCAGCACAATATGATTTGTCAAATGACAAAGTCCTTCATCGTTAGGGAATTGGTGCTGCACATATATATAATTATCAAAATTTAGATCTACTAGAAATTTCATACCATTATAGCTAAATTCAAGCGCTGCTATTAGCACTATCAATAAATAAAAGTAATTCAATAAAATATATATTAAAAAATGTTTAAAATATTGAAATAAAATCATCACTAAAACTAAATTATAATCCTTTATTTTATTATATTATTATTATTATTTTTTTTTTTTTTGCTTTTATTTTTGACTGTGATTCAAGAGAAATTACAATTTTTTCCCCAATTTTTCATCGAAATCAACCTAAGAATGCATCTTTACTTGTGAAATATCATCGGCCATTGCTGGCGAAGAAAATTATCAAGAAATGTTAATTCCGTTTGTTTTATTAGCCGGGCTGACACCAATAAAGGGCGTGCGGGGGCCTGTCGGGAGAATAAAATAAATAATACAATAGCCGCGGCGCGTAGTCGGACACAATTTAATTTTTCACTTGCACCTCTCTGATGTGTGATAACAGACGCGGTGGAATAACAAATGACCGCCGGCTGAACCGCTCATCCCGTGCGGTTCAAAGGCAAACAGAATTAAGAATAAAGAAAATGAAATCGCTGCCTCCCACGGCGCGCGTTCAAGGAAACATGAAAGAGCGCTCGCTTCACGGTGGATGAGCCGAAATTTATTAATTTAATTCCAACCCCCAAGTATTTGAAAAAGACCTGGAAATATGCAGCAGTCCTTTTGAATTTATTGTTTGTTTTCTCCCTCCCAAATGCACATTTCTCATCCTTTTCAGCCATCAAATTACGATGCCAGGGGATTTTCGACCACTTTATCCCGTAGGTTTTATCGAGGGTTTTTTATATTTTATACACAAGATGTAACAATTAAATAAGCTGCCACGGGGAATGACAAAAAAACAACTCCTTGAAAAAGAAGACGAAGACTTAAATACTGCAATTTACATTTTTTTTAAACATTAAAATTTTTAGGAGCAATTTACTTACATTTTGGAATTCCAGAAACGATTAAAATAAATCATTTTCAGAAACAGCCGGCAGCATTTTTTTGTCCACAGAAATTAGCATTCTATTTACGAATTCAGCGTCAAAATGAAAAATCGCCGGACACATGCATGGCCGTTAATTCATTTTTCGCAAAACAAATTTTTCCGCCTTCATAAATCTCATTCAATTACGCAAGCGTCAAGAAATTTTCTCGAAATCTCGCCCCGGGCGCATTTTTCTCACAACACGAGCCGCCGATTTTCCTCTCGGACCGATAAATCTCGAATCTCGGCCTTAATAAGCGCACGTGGTTCTACGTCTTCATAGAGCATTTCCATACAAATCATCCACGCACCACTCTCTAGAAAGAGCCCCCGGCAGCTACCTGTGCTCGTAAAATTGAAACTGCGGTCAGAAAAAAATACTTGAAGGAAAGACCTCTCTCGTTTTTATCTTTTTCGAACCCAATATCGACGAGTGGAGAGCAATTTATGTATGCAAATGACTGACATATTTTGAGGCGTGCCGATGGACACGTGAAAAATAAAAATAAAAAATGAATGAGAAAACTGGCACCTTAAATTCTCAGAACGAAAAGAGAATGAGCTGAACCGAAAATGGTGCTGTCATTCTATGATAATTGATTAGCTTTAAAATCTACATTATGCATCAAATCATGGTTTATTTAATTAGCATAACATCATTTTAATCGATAAAAGTATTTTTTTTTTAATATTTACATTTTTATAATAAATCAAGGTTGGATAATTTGAATAAGATCAAAGGCAGATAATTAAAAAACAATCGCGATTTTTTTATTTCATGTACAACGCAATGCTTGTTATTTCAATGATAAATTGTCAGCTGAGTCAGCTCTGACATTTTCCACGAAATATATCTGGGATATTAATTATAAATTTGCTATTTTAATTTTTTGATCGCAGTCGTTTATCGAGATTTTATTAACTTTGAAATCTTATTCAATCAAATTCTTTTGTGTTCAACCATTTTTTTTTTCACATTATGTTCAAAGTTTGATCCGTCCTTGCCTCTCTAATTTCAGACAATACATGAACAATTTCTTTTTTTTTAATACACGATTTACCTCTCCAAACTTTTGTTCTTTTTCTGTTTATTTTTTCTTATGTATTATTTTGTTTGCTTTTCCAGGGGTTTGCGTCAGGGTCTGGCGATTTTGGTGATATAGACGAGGACCTGGTGAGTCATCACGTTATATTATTATTTATTTTTGGTTAATTTTATACTTTTCATTCCCTCCTATATATTTGTTTTTTAAGTCTCTTCCTTTTTCATTAATTTCCAGTCGTCCCGAGCCACCCAGGTGATAAATCACGGGTCGTTTTGTTCGTATAAATTTAATCACACGGACTAAACGCTTTTGTTGAATTTCATTTCCTCTCTCTCACGAATCTCTCTGAATGGACGAGCACCAAACAGCCTCTGTTTGTTCAACTCTCTGTTGAAGAGGCAGAGGTGCTAAATAATTATTCATTGTTCGTCGCCCACCTCTTGAAAATCTCTCTTTGGTTTGTTGAGAAAAAAAATCATATTTAAAAAATAAATAATAATACATTAGCAGCTCTGAAGGATTTACGAGTCAAATTGCCGTCGGGCCTCACATCTGCTTAAAATTAATTTCCCCAAGTGGGAGCGAATTTTATTTTGCCAGAAGGAAAGAGAGACCTTCTGAGAATTTTTCTGGTCCACCTAACGACTTGCTGATGAAGAGCTGTGCAATTATTTGCCCAGCCACACTTCACCAGTTCCTGGAAAATTCAGTTTCACGTAAATTTTTTTCTAGAATGAATTTAAATTTTACGATCTTGCGTCATGGTTCTTGATTCTTGATTATTTTATGGTGGATTAAAAGTGTGTGTACCAAATATTAAGTTTTATTTTCAGCCTTTTTTTAATTTAAACGTCTAAAAAAAGTTCAAATTAGTTATACAAAGATTTTTTTTTGTTTTCAATTTGAAATTATTTTACAGAAAAATTATTTAATTGAATTTAATGTTTTTAATTTTAAAGTCCCTCAAGATATATTCATTATTTTTCATTTTTTTTACAGTTATTTAAGATATTCAATTTATTACATTTTTTTTTTTAAATTTTCATCCTCATTATTTCAGAGGGGCATAATTAAAAAAAGTTAAATTAAGTAGAAGATTAGAGTTTAACTTTTTATCTCTACCATCAAAATTATCAAGTCTTGTTGAAATGAAATAAACTTCCCACGCTCTCAGGTCAATTGACAATCATTTTCAAATTAATTGCCAGGAAAACAGAACCGCTCTCCGCAATTTTGCTTACTTAGAGAAGATTGACAGCCATTTAATCTGCTCAATAGAAACGCTACCGGGACTCACTCCGTTTGCAGATTGACCTCAGGGTCACTGATTAGGAGGTGTGTCCGCATGATGTCAGCGAGTTGAGCCCACAGTGTACATTTACAAAGAAGTATTACTCACCAATAGTGCAAAATATTGTAGGGAAAAATTTATTTGCTTGTTTCGCCCACTTTAATCTCGAAAGCTGTCAACCAGAGTGAACAAATGACAAATAAATTGAGCGGTGTCGATTTTTCAACACGTCCCTCTCTCTTTTGTATTGCAGGAGAACACTCCGGATGACTTCTTGACCGGAGACCCTTCGGGCAGAGGCGACCTGGGCTCGGTCCCGCCATTCCCGCCGCCGCCGCCCAGATTGCACAGTATGAATCAGATATTTATTACAGCACATGCCCTCTTTACTCGTTAGAGGACATTTATCATTTTTTATTTTTCTAGCCTGACACACCGCTTGTAGAACTTTGAATTTATTTTCTTTTTTATATCGTTTGCAGCGTGGTGTAATAATACCTTTTTAAATTGCACAGACGGCTTAAAAGGAGAAAAAGGTGAAAGAGGAGAAAGGGTAATTATTTTTCACAGAAAAAGTTAGATTTTTGCAAATCTAAAGAAAATATTATCAGGGTCCCCCTGGACAAGTTCTCCGGGGGCCACCTGGTCCTCCTGGCGAGCCTGGTTATGGCAGTGGTGGTGACTTTATTCCAGTAGAAGGGGTAGATTTTTATACCTTAAAATTAATTCAAAAAATTAAAACTTTGGTTTCAATAGATGGCAAGAGGGCCGATGGGGCCTCCTGGGCCTCCAGGCACTTGTAGCTGCAACGCATCGATGATATTTGGTCCCGACAGCAAGATGCCTGAACTAATACCCGGACCGCCAGGGTCACCTGGAAGGGACGGAAATTCCGGACCTGCTGGGCTCCCGGTGAGTTAATTTTTTTTTTTTATATTTAATTTATTCAATAATTCGCTTGAAGGGTTTGCCGGGGCCGACTGGCGAAAGAGGCCAAACTGGTCAGCGAGGCGAAAAAGGTGACAGGGGTGACGTCGGGCCTCAGGGAGTCGAAGGGCAACCTGGTCCCAAGGGTGAGGCCGGTCGAGACGGCACACCCGGACTTCAGGGTTTGCCCGGTCCGCCTGGTGCGCCCGGAAACTCGGATTTCACAAACTATGACGTAAGTATTAATAATTTAATCCTCTTAAAAACATAGGAGTGTGTGTTTGTGCGTTTGATTACTCTTATGTACTAACTCTGAACTTTTTGCTTCTGACTAACAACCAGCCTGGGTGGAGGCCTCGTGGGAATCTCAAGGTTCTCTTTGCACTTGTTTTTAGCGTATAATCCTTTTCTAACACTTCTCACTATTTTGTGTGCAATCGAAAGGACTCACTTCTTGGTAACTCTGGGTTCGGTCAGGGTATGGGTAGACCTGGCAGCCCAGGGCCGAAGGGTGAAAAGGGAGATTCTGGTCCGTACGGTCCAAGGGGTGAACGAGGTGTGCCTGGAAATAAGGGCGACCGAGGAGAAGCGGGCACCAGGGGCCAAAAAGGAGACAAGGTTCTAAAACTTTCTTTACTGAACAACTTCTTTTTCTCTTTTTATTTCACAAATTACTTTTCACCCGCTGGTATTGACATAATACAAGTATTTAAATAAATACTGCATCAAAAAAAAAGCACTGGCAAAAAGGAAAAAAAAACTTTGTCTTTGCCTAAAAAATTAATTATTGTTTTTTTTCCGGATTTTTCTTCTTTTATATTTAATTTGTATTAATTTTATACATGTAATTTTAGGGGCACCAAGGTTCTATTGGGTACCAAGGGTTTAAAGGAGAGCGAGGAGAGCCCGGTATTGATGGAATGCCAGGTAAAAAAAATCAGTTTTGAAATTAATTTCTTATTTATTACTTATCTTAGGCATTCCTGGAGAAAATGGTTTAAATGGGCCAAAGGGTGATAGAGGAGAAATAGGTCCAATGGGCCCACCAGGTCCTCCATCTTTCAATGCGGCGAGTCTGATTGGAGACAGTTTGCTCAGTTCCGAGAAGGGAGACAAGGGTGACAGAGGAGAACCTGGCGTACCTGGAATTGATGTAACAATATTTGTCTTAAATTGAAGCCCTGATCATTATTCTTTCTCTCTCAGGGCAAAAACGGCCAACCTGGGACAAAGGGAGAGCCTGGAACTGTTGTTTCTTCCGACGGGAAAGTCGTAAAAGTATGACAATTTAATTCATTAATAATAAAAAATAAAAACTTCTAAATTTCTATTTGCCACCAGGGAGATAGAGGTGAACGAGGGAAGAGAGGAAAGCGAGGAGAGCCTGTAAGTGCTGCTCTTTGGAGACTTTATATTATAAAATTAATTTCTCTTTTTCTCTCAAAGGGTCCAGCTGGCCCACCTGGTCCTCCGGGTCCACCAGGTCCTAGAGGAGATTTCGGTCTACCTGGATGGGGCGTACGTATTTAGTAAATTTTTCCTATATTTTAATTCCCTTTTAACCAAATTACACTCAATTTTGCACACAAATTTGGAGAAAATGTTTGGTAAGACCCTTTTTTACAACTACCGTCTTTTATTGAAAATGACAAATGAAGCCAAATAAAAAAAATTACAAATTATTACAAATTTCAGATGAAAGGAGATAAAGGTGATCCTGGTTCAAAGGGGGAAGCTGGCCAGTTAGGAGAAGGTGGACTCATTCCGAAAGGGCCCTTGTATATTCCCGTTCCTGGACCTCCAGGCCCTCCAGTAAACTAGAAACATGAAAAGTCTGAGTTAAAACTAACTACTTATATTTCAATAGGGACCGCCAGGAATTCCAGGAATTTCCATTCAGGGTGAAAGGGGTGAACCGGGACCCCCTGGAGAACCAGGATTTTATTCTTACAGACCTGGACCAGCATTTGGTGAGCAATCCTTGTCAGGCCGACCAGGTAGTAAATTTATTCGAAGAAAGAAATTTCTCACTTTTTTTCTTTGAATTTTAGGCAGCGCAAGGAGTAGTCTTGAGGAGCTGAGAGCTTTGAAGCACATAAAGGACATCAAGGATGGTCTTGGTAAAAATTGTCATTTTAAAACTTAATTGAAAACCTAATGTCATTAATTTCAGCCCCACCAAGTCATCACACAGGGCGCACTCACCACCACGAGACACCGCCTCAAATGAAAGTAGTCCCTGGGGCTGTCACATTCCAAAACTCGGAAACTATGATCAGAGTATGAAAAGAAAAAGTCATAAAATTTAAATTATATACTAAATATTTTTCTAATTTGACAGATGTCTTCTGCCTCACCTGTTGGCACCATTGCATTCCTCCTCGATGAGGAGGCTCTTCTAGTCAGGGTCAGAAGTGGGTGGCAGTACATAGCTGTAAGTTTCAGAATTAAAATTTCGTTTGACGTTTACTAAAATTTTCCTATAGCTCGGAGGATTGGTTTCCGTGGACACGACTGCACCTCCTGAGACCACAACCACCACCGAAGCTCCCATTCTTCCACCCATCAGACCTCAAATGGAGGTTTCAAATCTCCTAAGAACTGTTGATGGTCCTAATGTAAGTTCTGTTTTAAATTTAAACTTTAATTCTTATTTTTGATGTCATTTCATGCTCTCAGTGGACGCCTAAAATGGTAAAATTTTAACCCAGCTTAATAAATTTAATGCGTTTTTATTTTAAATTAAAACTTAATAATATATTAATTAAACTTTCAGCTAAGGTTAGCTGCCCTCAATGAGCCATCTACAGGAAACATGCATGGCGTGAGAGGCGCTGATTATTCTTGCTACCGTCAAGCAAGAAGGGCCAATTTGAGAGGAACCTTCCGAGCGTTCCTTGCATCACGAGTCCAAGATTTGGACTCCATCGTCCGATCAACCGACCGAGACCTTCCTGTTGTCAATATAAAGGTAAATAATTTCAAACAAATTGGAAATATAATTATTATTTTTTTAAATCAGGGAGACGTCTTGTTCAACTCATGGAATGAGCTGTTCAATGGGGACGGAGGACTTTTCCTCGGCCAGTCTCGAATTTACAGTTTCAGCGGGAAAAATGTTCTAAGCGACATGAACTGGTAAAATTATCAATTGTAACTAAAATGAAAATTAATTTTTAATATCTTATAAATTTCCAGGCCTATGAAGGCAATCTGGCATGGATCCCAACTGATGGGTGAAAGGGCCGTGGACACCTATTGCGAGGCCTGGCATTCGGAGTCGATGGACAAACTCGGCCTCGGCTCCTCTTTGCTCAAGGGCCGTCTTTTGGGTCAGGAGAGATTCACCTGCGATCAGAAACTGATCATCCTGTGCATGGAGGCGACCAGTGTGGGACGAAGCAGGCGCAGCATTCCCGAGGACACAATTCTCAGCGAGACGGAATACAATTCTCTTGTCGGCGCAATCAACTGATTTGGCTTCGCATGTTGTCATTATCCGTCCTCGCTGAATGTAATTTAAAAAAGAGATCAAACGTTTCCGATATTTGTGTTATTTTCATTCATAATACTCGTCTGGTCACACAATTTGATGTATAGCATGTGTCGTAAGCTCTCTCTACTATATTTCGGCATAGATTAAAATTACATAATATTTAAAGAACATTTCAGCAATAAAGGAATTTACGAATCAATGTGTTGAAAGTTACCAAGCCAAATTATCTCGATGTAATTCGCAAACTTCAGTTGTGCAAAAAAATGCCATAATAATGCCATTTTCGCTGTAAATTATTATTTATTGTTAATATTAAATAATGTCTAATGTCCATCAAGCACCTTACTTATCCTTAAATCCTTAGTCACATTCCAAACTAATTGTTTTTATCTGAATATATAATATATTCATGTGTAAAATTAAAAAAGAAAATGTGCTTGTAAAATACGTTGTCACAGCAAGATCACCAGTTTTGTAGTATTTATTGACATAATATTGTATCTCTAGAAATTAAAAAAGTCATTCATCTTTAACCCTCTGCTTCAGCACTATTGATCCAAAAATTAAAAAGCTATTAAAATATTGCAATTATGACTACTGCTGATTTTTTGACAATTTGACCCGTACATATGGAAGAAAATTAACTTTTTTTTTATTGAATTTCAACATGTGTGGTGTTATTGGGAGCAGAGTGGATTTTATATTGATTTCTTCCATTTGAGGTCTGCTCTCTAAATGTATAAAGCAAAATAATACCACAAAATAGCTACAATAGAGGTTCGAATTATGTATTACATGATGTACTGACAAACCAACAAAATTAGATGTAAATTTCTGTGTAAATAAATTATAATTATTGTAAAACAAAATATTTAAGTTTAATTTAATTATACATGGAAAAATACTAAATAAGCTTTTTCAAATAACCAGTATAAAATCTAAAAAATAACTAATCAAAAAATAACTCGTAAGTTAATTTTATTATTTTTATGGATGAATTCGATGGATTTAGGAAACATTTAGGTTCAAATTTCGCAATTTATACATTTTTTGAAAATAGTTTTATTAGTTATTCTGTTGAATTAAATTGAATTCCAAATTAATTGTACAATTTTCCGTTATTTTTATTAGCATTGGCTGGCACGTGCAAATTCATAATCAATGCTATGCGTCTTGGACTTCGCGTTCTTCACTCTTCGCAATGCGCCGCGCCAAAAGAAAAGGCGCCGTCTGCCAGCCAAAAGATGAACTTGAAATCAAAACAAGACGTCGTGTTGTTGTGGTCTTTCATAGCAAGCTGGGGTTTTTTCGAATTTCGCTTTATTTAAATGTTTTAAAACCACTTTTCTACATGTCCAGTCCAGGAAAAGAATCTCTCAGAGTAAGTCCTTAATTAAATTCACAAAACGTGCCATAATTTCATTGGTAATTTGAATCAATGTATGCTTAATAATTTTCGGCGCATTATTAATAATTTGATCATCTATGTAATTATTTATGTTGTGTCTGAATTAAATCTTGATTTTTAGATCCTGTGCATTCACGGCTACAGACAAAATGCAGACGCTTTTAAAGGGAAAATCGGCTCATTCAGGAAAATTTTTAAAAACAAAAACGTCGAATTTGTTTTTCTAAACGCACCGCACCAAGTTCCACCAGACCCCGATCTTGAAACTGAAGGTTTTTTACCTTACATAATTAAATATATTTTTTGCAAAATTAAAAATTTACAGAAGGAGCGGATCAACGAGGCTGGTGGTTTTGCACAGAAGACAAAAAATTCAGCGGGAAGATGTTTTGCGAGTCAAGTTTCGGACTGCAAGAGAGCATCACTTTGGTCGAAGAAGCGTTCAGGACTCAGGGACCCTTTGACGGGATCCTCGGCTTCTCTCAGGGTGCCTCACTCACTGCCCTTTTGTCAGCCCATTCACAAATGAATCCTGGTAAATTAAAAAACTTTCTTCGTTAAAAACAATAAAATTATATTTAATTAATATTTAGTCGTAGTCTTCCTATTTGAAAATATTTTTTTGATCTTGAAATTATTCAAAAAGACTTCAATTAAAAATTTCAAGAGAGATAGAAACCGTGTAAACATTTAAATCGTTTTATCTGGAGTTGAGAGAAGAAAAATCGACATTACCAAATTTTAGAACGTTTTTTCTGTGCTTAAAATATATTGGATTGTTTATAAATTTTTGGAAGATCAAGTTTGATTGAATTTCTACAAATAATCCTTTTTGCTCTGTTCTCTGTTTTTATTTTCTAGATTCCCCCATCAAGTTTCGATTTGCAATTTTGGTTGCCGGTTTCAAATCGAGGTGCTCCGAACATTCCAAATACTTCGAGCAGAAAATTCAGATACCCACCCTTCAAGTGATGGGAGAAACTGATAATGTGATACCAAAAGGTAAAGAGTAAAAATTTGATGGTTAAATTAGGCTTAGGTATAAATTATTTCTTAAAATTTAGAGATGAGTGAAGAGCTTTCCGAGTGTTTTGAAAACGCAACCGTCACCACACACCCAGGCGGACACTACGTCCCAGCCAGCGGCCAACTGAAGTCATCCTACCTTAATATTGTGAAACAGTTTGAGTGCCCCGAATGAAAGGTACAGCTTGTTTTAAATTTTTACATTAAAAATTTAAAAAAAAAAATTGAATCTATTAATTTTGCAGTCACACGCAAATAATTGAATTTTAATTACATCAAATCAGCAATTTTTTATTTATCTAATAAAAAGAGCGAATTATAAAATTTCAAAGGCACATTAAAAACTAAAATGCACGAATTCTGAATTCCATTTAAAAAACCCGGCTATGATTCAGTTCAGGGGAACAGACAATATGGGCGAAATATTTACAGTACAGAGAGCTAATGAAGGGTTTATAGAAAAGATTTGCATGAAATTTTTAAAAAGTGTAATGCCGAATATTCCAAGTGGAAATTTTAATGCCGAGGCGTCATAGTGAAAAATATGCTAAGCTGGATTAACGACGAAGCCCTCTTCTGATTTGCATAAAATTTAAGTATCTAGTGTGGTTGCATAATAAAGAGGTCAGGTGCATGAAAACGGGTCTTAGAGCTCAAGGATAATCTCTCTCTATTCTAAACCAAAACATCTACACTTGCCAATTAAACAAGAGTTTGAAATTTCTTTAATTATTTATTAATTTTCTTAAATTGCCTGTTGAGGAAATTTGTAAATTCAACCAAAATTGAATTTTCCCGTTATTTAAATTACAAGCAAAGAGGGGAGTGAAAAAACATCTTGTTCCGCCTCAGCGGCGAGAGTGCAACACTTGCCATGAACTTGCAACTTGGTGTTTTTTTTTTGCCCGCAACCCTTCCTTCACCATAGGGGGCGTCGATCTTCATTTGCATACTGTAATTGGAACGGGCTCTGGCTTTGTGGCGCGCAGAGAAGACTAATTACACTCGTCATCAACCCTTCACTTTGGCTCATCAATTTTTGGTCGATGCAAGTGTGAATAAAATTCAGAAGCTGCATAAATTCATAATCCTCCCTTTCAACATCGAAACATTCTTGGCTCTCATTTCTCCGGCTTGAAATTGAATCGGAGCTCAGAGATAGATTGCGAAGCCCGAAAGTGATAAACTTGGAAACTAGCAGGACATGTTTTCCACTCGTCCGCTTATAAATGACAGTCGTAAATGTTAATTGTCTAATTTAGTTGCTTTAATGGCCCGAGCACTGCATATTACATGCACGTCGAGATAATTGAATTGATTTTAGTGCTCGGCTTGCGAATGGAGCGCTCGCAAATCTCATTTGCATCAACCCAAAGTGCTGTCCATTTATTTGTCTCTCGTCGTCGTCGTCACCGCTTTGATCATTCCGCATTTGACTAAATGGGCGCGGTGTTAAATTTTAATTACATACCTCTCCGGGTCTCTCTGGCAAACAACCACGATTGCGCTCAAATCTCGAATTTCGCGCAACCTAAATGTAACTTGATATATATTATATAAGTCCATGGTCCACAATGAGTGCGCGGTCTGATTATTTATTCCACCGTAAACGACAGAGTTTGTAAAGGAATAATTGAGTGCGCCCGTTTTATACCGTCAGTTTATTAAATACTTCACATTTTTTTGTTAGATTAGCCAAAACACTAAATATTATGCAATAATATATTTTTAATGATATTTTTTTTTAAAGTTTCAACGTAAAAAATTGTAAAAAGATACCTTTTTTTGAGGACTAAATAATATCATTCTTATAAAATTAATGTTTAGTGGTTGGAAATTTATACCAGAATTGGCAAAAAAATCCGGTATACAAAGTTAATTAATCATACAGTTGGCATCATGCGGTTTCATTAAGTGTGGACCAATTATAATTGACACTGTTTGACAATTTTTTTAAATAACGTAAAATACAATTTGAAAAATTATTAAGATATAAAAAATTAAAATAAAATTTGTCAAAATTTGTTGCTAACTTAAATTGAATAAAATAAAAAAAAAATGATTAAATACATGTATATTATATTAAAAATATAATAAATAAGTTAAAATAAAAAAATTTATATGCAAAAAGAATTAATTTAGTAATTCAATATTATTTGCATTGTACGTTTTACTCCTTTAGTGTGCAATTTCTTCCCTTTAATATCCTAAACCAGTTGTGGTTTCAAAGAAAAGTTATTCTAAAAAACTATCCGCAATGACTTGGTGAACTTTTGTTTAAAAAGTGAAATCTAAAAATTGGAAATTGGTCCATGTAATCAGTTTTTTGCTTCTCCTGTAAATTTTGAAAAAAAAAACTGACCAGCCATTTTCCACAACGGGGAAACTGGCAAATTTCCCCACAAGGATAATAACCAAATCGGACATTTGGTATTAATTCTAATAAAATTTACGTCTTTTGAAAATGAATACCCAAATTCGAAAAAAAATCCTAGTATCATATTAAAAATTAATTATATATTTTTTGCGATATTCTACAGCAACAAGATGATTTAATCGAACCACTAAAAATTTATCTAAAGAGACCTTTAGTTGAGGAATGAAAATCTGTGTGACGTTCATGGACTATTCACTATTTATATATTTTCAGTCTTTTTAGAAATATAGGCCATAGAAGTTATTTTTTTTAGTACATAATCTTCATAAATTAAATAAAAATCTCTAGAAATTCTGATGAAATTCAACAAGTCAGAGATCTGAGATATCGATTAATTGCATTACACGAGACGCGAGGTGTAAAAAATTAGGAGTGGCAAACAGCGCCCTGAGGAGTTGCCGCCGCGGCAATAAAAGAGGCCGGCGACGCACCCCCGCGCGAATATCAGCCCCCCGAGATGCGCGCATTTTGGCGCTTTTGATGTGCAACCCTTTCTTCGGGGAACATTATCTCGTGCTGAGGGCCATTTAATCAAAGGAAGCCTCGCGAGCTTTCTCTCAGTTAATTTAATAACCGAGTGCGTGCGGAGTGAATGGCTTTGGCGCTGATTATCATTGCAGCTCGTAATCAGACTTTGCTGGTTGTTGATCCGAGTCAGCGACTCTTGTCAAAATAATGTTTATGAAGACGAGCAGACCAACTTGATTATGCTGACACGAGGAATCTCGCTGAGCAGGCAAAGCGCCACTTTGTTTTGAGCGCTAATGGCTCGAGAGCTTCCTAATTGAGGGAGCGGCTGTCGTAACCCTTTGGCCCGACGAAACATTGCGCTTTCTCACGCTAATTCCAAATTACGAGCGTGTAAACATCTCGCGGCTTCCGCACAATTTTCGGATATGGCAGTTTTTTCCAGTGTTTTATAATTTCTATTAAAAACTTTTCAGGATTAAAATTCTTAAAGCATTTTGCCAAACGAAAGCGATCAACTTAATTTAATTGGTAATTTTTTTTAAATTCTTCTTTCCCATCTTTTAGGCCCAGGATTGCTTTATTTAAATGGAATTTTTTTCAACTATTTATACAAAATTTTAGTCCCAGGCTCACTAGGTATGCAATTTTTAAGTTTTTTTTATAATATTTAAAGCGCAACCACATTTTTCAAATTGAGGTTTTTTTATTATATTTAATTAATTTAATTGATTTTTCATTAATAATGATAAAATGGAAGTAAACAAGTCATCCAAAAGTATCTTTAGTAATATAATTCCATAACCGTCAACAGCTGCGCCAAACGCATTCGGCTTGACAGTAAGAGTGATTAATTATTTCGGCAAAAATCACAGAACAAGGAAAACGGGCGGGCGAGTGTGAAATTAGTTGAGGCGATTGCCAGGCTGATCGCATTAGCGATATTAAATTTGCAAGTCAATGTTGAGTATAAATAAATGACAAATGACCAGCGACCCGTAAGAAGAAGCAAAAAGAAAGGCATCATTAGCGCTCGCTCGCTCGCAAGATAAATGAAGACGAGAGATTCGGACAGAAATTTTGATGATTTCCTTTCGGGGGGTGATTGCGGGGGTACGTTTGTGTGTGTGTCTTTCCATATTTCTGCATGAGGGGATGATGGATGCGAGCCGCAGCCTTTATTGATGCGCGCCCTGCCTGCCCGGCCAGAATATGCGACTTGACATTTACAATTCCGACCATTACGCCAATTGAATGTCACACGGACTCGTGACAAATGATCGAAAAGTGCGCGCCGCCGGGCAAAAAAAAAAAAATAAACTTGTAATCATCGTCGAGAGCACACCATGACGAAAAGCTGGGCAACCACTCGACTTTTTGGCATCGAGAGCAAAACAACATGCAAGTTACTATTATTGATCTTTCTTGAAAAAAGAGATTCTTATTTTATTTACAATTAATCGTAATTTTAGAATCTGATAGCAAGAAGGATTTTTAATTTTTTTTTCTTGCATTAATTAAACAGATAAAAAGGAAATTATTCATTTTATATTAAATAATATACATTCTGAAAACTTATACTTCGTTTTTTTTTTACAATGAAATTTTACATTTAATGATAACACAGAAAAATTTGAAGAGGGAACACAAAAATAAAAAGAGAGAAATAGTATAAATACGTCAAGGATTCTGGTTAGGAGAATATGCTGGGATTGAATATTGTCTTTACCTTATTGAATTTTGGGTTTTTTCCCGTTTTAAGTATTTGAATAATTTGTAGACAAACAATTTTAATTTCAAAAACTTGAACTGGCAAAATTTGTCCACAAAACAGATAAATTTGTTATCACATTATTTTCTTTTTATTAGGAATAATATAATTTATGAAAAATATTTTTTATATTGCATTTTTTTTTATTAAATTAAATTAAAAATAAACAGTATTAATAAAATTCATTAACATTGTGCTGGCATGTTCCTTAATTTTTTTTTTTTAGATCTTTATGCATTACAAAGATTTTATAAATAAAAGAATCCCAGGTTAGTGAGACAAAAGTTATACAAATATTCAAAATGCAATCCAAAGTTTTCCGTTGGGCAATTCTGCGCTTGTTTTCTTGACAATCTTTATTAAGTTTCTTTTCATAATTTAACCTTTATTTGCCATTTTTTAAGTGCCAAAAAAATTAATGACTCTTACCACAGTTTACAACGTCACACATTTAAAATTTATCACATCTTGTTTAAAAAATCTTGAATGAAATTAATCTTTGTTGTTCTGGCACTGGGTATCTGCTCGTCGCACGCACCGTCATCAATAACACTCGA